GCCTGTGGCAGCATATCTCGTATGCTAGGCTAGGAAGGGGGACACATTCTTGGTAACATAACTCTAGGGACTCTGCCCTTCACATTTCACTAGTGAACTTTGTGTACCTGTCAGCTGCACCTGTCAAATTATATCCCTCAACATGTCAAATGACCCCATCAAACAGGGCAGTCAAATGACCTTGTTTCGGTCCCATGGTCGACCCTTGTAATATTATAACATACACGTGCAGGACCTAGAGAGACACGTCCCAAGGTCACCCCAACAGCCTGGTTAAGCAGACTATCAACCAGGAGGCCTTGGTCAGAGATCGGGCCGCGGGAACATTGATCCCCGGAACAAACACACAGTAACATCATTGTTAACATAGGGGAAAATATTGGAGAGATTGGTTCTACATCTGCAGGCAGATACCACTGAGTTTACATATTAGTACCATTGATAGGTATACCTCTGTATACCCGTAAGACCCTCAAGGGAGCAAGGTTTACACTCCTTATATATATAAAACAGATCTTTGCATCCAAGAACAAATTTGAAACATAAGCACCGAGAAGGGGATCGAGGTCCCCACAAAGTCGGACTGTGAATTTGCCAGAACCAACAGTTTGGCAGATCAAGACATTAATCAGGAGGCCTGGTAGTGCCCAGGCCACCTGGGTCGTGCCCCAGGGGCACCTCACATGATAGCAAGCCTCTCATCCTTCTCTAACTACTTCTCTCCCTTTTCTACTCTCTACCCTCTCTCTCTCTCTCCCTTTTCTACTCTCTCTCTCTCTCTCTCTCTCTCTCTCTCTCTCTCTCTCTCTCTCTCTCTCTCTCTCTCTCTCTATCTCTCTCTCTCTCTCTCTCTCTCTCTCTCTCTCTCTCTCTCTCTCTCTCTCTCTCTCTCTCTCTCTCTCTCTCTCTCTCCCTCACTCACTACTCTCAGGAGAGAGGAGTGGAGTTGTGAACACGGGAGAGGGTAGAGGACACAGTAGAGAAGAGGGTGGATGAAAAGGTGGGGAAGAGGGTGGAGGAGAGGGGAACCGAACAGGACAAAGAGAGCCAGGAAAAAGAATAGGTAGGATAGAGGATAAGCTTATTAAAGTAAAGCATCCGGTGAGGAATTACTATGGGAAGTGGGAGAGAGAGAGAGAGAGAGAGAGAGAGAGAGAGAGAGAGAGAGAGAGAGAGAGAGAGAGAGAGAGAGAGAGAGAGAGAGAGAGAGGGGGGGGGGCGGGGAGGGTTGGGGAAGGTGGGGGGAGGGCAGGGGAAGGAGGGGGAGGGCAGGGGAACGTTGGGGAGGGCAGGGGAAGGTTGGGGAGGGCAGGGGAAGGTGGGGGAGGGCAGGGGAAGGTGGGGGAGGGCAGGAGAAGGTTGGGGAGGGCAGGGGAAGGTGGAGGAGGGCAGGGGAAGGTGGGGGAGGGCAGGGGAAGGTGGGGGAGGGCAGGGGAAGGTGGGGGAGGGCAGGGAAGGTGGGGGAGGGCAGGGGAAGGTGGGGGAGGGCAGGGGAAGGTGGGGGAGGGCAGGGGAAGGTGAGGGAGGGCGGGGGAATGTGAGGGAGGGCAGGGGAAGGTGGGGGAGGGCAGGGGAAGGTGGGGGAGGGCAGGGGAAGGTGAGGGAGGGCGGAAGGCAGGGGAAGGTAGGGGAGGGCAGGGGAAGGTGGGGGAGGGCAGGGGAAGGTGGGGGGGAGGGCAGGGGAAGGTGGGGGAGGGCAGGGGAAGGTAGGGGAAGGTGGGGGAGGGCAGGGGAAGGTGGGGGAGGGCAGGGGAAGGTGGGGGAGGGCAGGGGAAGGTGGGGGAGGGCAGGGGAAGGTGGGGGAGGGCAGGGGAAGGTGGGGGAGGGCAGGGGAAGGTGGGGGAGGGCAGGGGAAGGTGGGGGAGGGCAGGGGAAGGTGGGGGAGGGCAGGGGAAGGTGGGGGAGGGCAGGGGAAGGTGGGGAAGGGCAGGGGAAGGTGGGGAAGGGCAGGGGAAGGTGGGGGAGGGCAGGGGAAGGTGGGGGAGGGCAGGGGAAGGTGGGGGAGGGCAGGGGAAGGTGGGGGAGGGCAGGGGAAGGTGGGGGAGGGCAGGGGAAGGTGGGGGAGGGCAGGGGAAGGTGGGGGAGGGCAGGGGAAGGTGGGGGAGGGCAGGGGAAGGTAGGGAAGGGCAGGGGAAGGTTGGGGAGGGCAGGGGAAGGTGGGGGAGGGCAGGGGAAGGTAGGGGGGCAGGGGAAGGTGGGGGAGGGCAGGGGAAGGTGGGGGAGGGCAGGGGAAGGTAGGGGAGGGCAGGGGAAGGTGGGGGAGGGCAGGGGAAGGTGGGGAAGGGCAGGGGAAGGTGGGGGAGGACAGGGGAAGGTGGGGGAGGGCAGGGGAAGGTGGGGGAGGGCAGGGGAAGGTGGGGGAGGGCAGGGGAAGGTAGGGGGAGGGCAGGGGAAGGTGGGGGAGGGCAGGGGAAGGTGGGGGGAGGGCAGGGGAAGGTGGGGGAGGGCAGGGAAAGGTAGGGGAGGGCAGGGGAAGGTGAAGGAAGGTGCGGTGAGGCTAATAAGCGCCCCAAGGGACCACCAGGTGATGCTCACCTGGCGAGTCCTCTTAGGGAAGGGGGGGGGGTCTCAAGGCCCAGGGTAGGGGGGAGAACTCCAGCAGAGAAACGTGGGCTATCACAGAGAGAGAGAGAGAGAGAGAGAGAGAGAGAGAGAGAGAGGAGAGAGAGAGAGAGAGGAGAGAGAGAGAGAGAGAGAGAGGAGAGAGAGAGAGAGAGAGAGAGAGAGGGCCCCCCCCCCTCCCCTCAACACTCTCAGCCAAACCATGCAAGGGGATCTATAAGTATTCCAAACCCATGAGACAAGAGCCTCTGCACCAATGATGGCACTTGACGCCACTAGAGTACTCTCCAGGGTGTAACACAGCTACACATTAACTGCCCAGTTAGGGGTGCTGAAGACGTTGTTAACCTGGAGAACCCTTACTGCCACAATCCATTCACTAAACCACCTAAATAACTGGAACCGTTCAAAACCGCTCAAAGTGTCCTCCCTATAGTGAACTACACAATACACACAGAGGAAATTGTTCCAAAATTGTACTCTGAAATATTATGGCACGAGTCCTGGAGGCTCTGTAGAGCCCACAACACTCTAGAGACCAGAATATGGCCAAATATAGCCATGTAGAGGCCAAATATAGCCATGTAGAGGCCAAATATAGCCATGTAGAGGCCAAATATAGCCATGTAGAGGCCAAATATAGCCATGTAGAGGCCAAATATAGCCATGTAGAGGCCAAATATAGCCATGTAGAGGCCAAATATAGCCATGTAGAGGCCAAATATAGCCATGTAGAGGCCAAATATAGCCATGTAGAGGCCAAATATAGCCATGTAGAGGCCAAATATAGCCATGTAGAGGCCAAATATAGCCATGTAGAGGCCAAATATAGCCATGTAGAGGCCAAATATAGCCATGTAGAGGCCAAATATGTGCTCTAAGACACAATTCTCTATAGATAACCGCTACCAGGCTTTCAACCTTCTTCCTTCAGATATGTGCGGGCCATATCTAGGGACCTCAGTGTTCTGAGGGGGACGACCTTAATGATCAGCTCCAGAGGGTACCTGATCAACCAGGCTGTGATTCATACGTCAGGGTGCACGCAGCGACGTCCCACAGTCTGGTCGACCACACCGTCAAGCAGCAGGTGTGGTCGGAGACTGGACAGTGACAACACTTAACCCACACCTGCCCTCTGCTTCAGTGTGGACTCTAGGAATATGGCTCTATACAAGGGCTAATAATTAAGGGCTAATGGCCTGGTGCTTTCCCCTGATAATTCCCTTCCCTCTACACAAGGGCGGCCGCTCCCCCCCCCCCACACACAGGGGAGTCACGGCGCCCTAACTAGGGCTCTGTGATATAACATCGTACAACTAGTTTATGTCTGGTGTCGAGCCGCTCCTGCCCACCCATCTGGACCTGGCCTGGATGGGGTTCTGGGAGTAGTTCTACTCCCCAAGCCCGGCCCGAGGCCAGGCTTCACTTGTGAGAGTTTGGTCCACCAGGCTGTTGCTTGGAGCGGCCCGCAGGCCCACATACCCCACCACAGCCTGGTTGGTCCGGCACTCCTTGGAGGATACTGTCCAGTTTTCTCTGTGTATACACATACACACGCATATATATATATATTTATATTATATATATATATATATATATATATATGTAATATATATATATATATATATATATATATATATATAATGTATATATATATATGTCGTACCTAGTAGCCAGAACTCACTTCTGAGCCTACTATTCAAGGCCCGATTTGCCTAATAAGCCAAGTTTTCATGAATTAATATATTTACTATAATTTTTTTCTTATGAAATGATAAAGCAACCCTTTTCTCTATGTATGAGGTCAATTTTTTTTATTGGAGTTAAAATTAACGTAGATATATGACCGAACCTAACCAACCCTACCTAACCTAACCTAACCTATATTTATAGGTAAGGTTAGGTTAGGTAGCCAAAAAAAAGCTAGGTTAGGTTAGGTTAGGTAGGTTAGGTAGACGAAAAAAACATTAATTCATGAAAACTTGGCTTATTAGGCAAATCGGGCCTTGAATAGTAGGCTGAGAAGTGCGTTCTGGCTATTAGGTACGACATATATATATATATATATATATATATATATATATATATATTTATATATATATATATGGTGGAGACAGACTTCATGCACCGTTTCAAATGTAAATATGATAAAGCCGAATCGGCTTAGGAACCTGTACACCAGTTGATTGATGGTTGATGCGGGACCAAAGAATCGAAGCCCAACCCCCGCAAGCTCAACTAGGTGAGTACATACTACCCATGCCATAACCCCCCCCCACCACCAATATAACACATTATTACTAACATCTTTACTGACAAAATTAATTACAATTTTCCCTAACCTGAAGATAGAGGAGAGACAGGAGCTGAGGAATGATGTTAGCCTCACCTGAGTGAGTGCGGGTCTGGTATGAGGTGAACAGTGCACTGACGGTATGAAGTACTGTGACTGTGCCTGGCTGATCAGGCAGACTGTGACTGGCACAGGAGAGCATAACTGGAACTGCAGTTATGCTCTCCTGCACAAGCTCCTCCACAGAAAACGAACACCTGGAGCAGATAATCAGGAGAAAGAGGAGAGAAGAACAGTAATGACTGAGGAGTAACTTACAGAGACCGACATCCAAGCGGTAACAAACGCTGCCCAACCCTAATACAGAGCAATATTCGTGTTGAAATTAAAGTGCTTCACGTTGTTGTTAATGTTGTAGCCATGTCGAGGGCCTCGAGTGCTTCTTAGTACGATCTTACTAACTGGAGGTCACCAGTAATTAAGGAACTGAAGGATCACCAACCGGTGTCAGAAACGTGAAACAGAAATCAGATTTAAGACAATATCTGCTGCCCCGCAGGTCACACCAGCCACTCAGGGCAGTGACATTATGTTTTCTAGAATCTGAAGCGACTGAACAGCGACGGTCCTTGACGGTCCTTGATGGTCCTTGACGGTCCTTGATGGTCTTTGACGGTCCTTGACGGTCCTTGATGGTCTTTGACGGTCCTTGACGGTCCTTGATGGTCTTTGACGGTCCTTGACGGTCCTTGACGGCGGGTTTGTAAACTGAGAGCCACACTGAGATGATCGACGGAAGGAGAGTGGAGTACTCCGTCACCCGAGTGACAGAGTACTCCACTCAGTCCTCCACAAGGCACCATTCCTTTCCCCCGTCCCACCCCAAATCCTTATCCTGACCCGTTCCAAGTGAGAGACTATAGAGCTATAGAGCTATGCGCGTCCATCTAAGTCGCATGCACAAGGTTCAATACCGTTCCAAGTGCTATATAGTGGTAATGGCTTGGCCCTTTACCCCTGATAGTTCGCTTCCGTCAGCCGAGACTCCGCCCTACACCAACTAGCCTGCGACACGAGGTAACATCAGGAAGCGAGGCCTCTCTAGGACACACAAATAACGATGGACTAACCATGTAAATGAGATCAATATAGGCCCAGAGGAAACACAACCCATCATAATAACAGTAGTGAGACAACACACACACTATAACCAGTATAGTTTCCCATATAGAGAACCAGATATAAAGAAGGACTGAGAGGGGGACAAGGAGAAGTAAGGATAAGAATGAAGGGAGAGACGACCCATGAAGGATCAAATGAACACATACTATCTTGAGGTTATCTTGAGGTTATCTTGAGATGATTTCGGGGCTTTTTAGTGTCCCCGCGGCCCGGTCCTCGACCAGGCCTCCACCCCCATGAAGCAGCCCGTGACAGCTGACTAACACCCAGGTACCTATTTTACTGCTAAGTAACAGGGGCATAGTGTGAAAGAAACTCTGCCCATTGTTTCTCGCCGGCACCTGGGATCGAACCCAGGACCACATGATCACAAGTCCAGCGTGCTGTCCGCTCGGCCGACCGGCTCCCTGGTTGGCAATACTATACCCTATAAACTATATATACTATACTATAATACTATACCCTGACCATTATAACAAGGCGTCCAAAGCCTTACAATGTTCTTCAACAACATCCAGGTTGAACAGAAGACAGGAAAACGGGCGGGTCAGGATATAATCCAGCAGACAGCTAGGATTACCCAGCAGACAGCTAGGATTACCCAGCAGACAGCCAGGATTACCCAGCAGACAGCCAGGATTACCCAGCAGACAGCCAGGATTACCCAGCAGACAGCTAGGATTACCCAGCAGACAGCTAGGATTACCCAGCAGACAGCTAGGATTACCCAGCAGACAGCCAGGATTACCCAGCAGACAGCTAGGATTACCCAGCAGACAGCTAGGATTACCCAGCAGACAGCTAGGATTACCCAGCAGACAGCCAGGATTACCCAGCAGACAGCCAGGATTACCCAGCAGACAGCCAGGATTACCCAGCAGACAGCTAGGATTACCCAGCAGACAGCTAGGATTACCCAGCAGACAGCTAGGATTACCCAGCAGACAGCCAGGATTACCCAGCAGACAGCTAGGATTACCCAGCAGACAGCCAGGATTACCCAGCAGACAGCCAGGATTACCCAGCAGACAGCTAGGATTACCCAGCAGACAGCTAGGATTACCCAGCAGACAAAAGGCAAGAGCCGTAATGACTGGTGACCTCAACCACGTGATACACGAGAATAACACGAGACATGCACATATAAACTCTTGGAAGTAATACAGATAAATTTCCAAAGACAACATGTCAGGGAGATACTGTGTCCACAGGGAAGAGAGCCCCGGGGGGAAGGGTGTACCTGGATTATACCTGGATGAAGTTCTGAGAGTTCTTTTACTCCCCAAGTCTGGTCACGGGCCAGGCTTGACTTGTCAAAGCTTGGTTCAACAGGCTGTTGCTTGGAGCGGCCCGCAGGCCCATATATCCACTACAACCTGATTGGAAATGACTTCAAAATCACTATATAATTAGTGCAATTATCTACTCCCTATGCAAGGTTAGGTTAAGATTCTTCGGTTGAGGTGAGGTTTCATTACGTTTTGTTATGTTAAGATGTTGTATTATTCTCAAACATGCGTAATATGGAATTAAAAAAGTTTTTGCATATCACGCTAGAATTTCGTTTAACACACACAAAAAATTCTTCAGACTGTTTCAAACAAAACGAGTTCAACATACACTTTTTATATTTAAAACCAATGATATATAACACAATAAAGTTAGAACTTCAAAATATTCTCTGTATAGGAGAAAGGATCACTTGCCCAGTTTACAAGAAGACTATTATTGGAACCGTAATAAGCTTTCACCCCATCACAAATATCTAGAAAATGATCAGGGTGGTTTGAGTGAGAGGAAGGAGGGGGGGGGGGGTTGGTGTCTTGTTCTAATGGATTTACTGAGAGAACACGTGGTGCAGGGAGGACACGAGGATGATGATGACCACGTGGTGCAGGGAGGACACGAGGATGATGATGAACACGTGGTGTAGGGAGGACACGAGGATGATGATGAACACGTGGTGCAGGGAGGACACGAGGATGATGATGAACACGTGGTGTAGGGAGGACACGAGGATGATGATGAACACGTGGTGCAGGGAGGACACGAGGATGATGATGACCACGTGGTGTAGGGAGGACACGAGGATGATGATGACCACGTGGTGCAGGGAGGACACGAGGATGATGATGAACACGTGGTGTAGGGAGGACACGAGGATGATGATGAACACGTGGTGCAGGGAGGACACGAGGACGATGATGACCACGTGGTGTAGGGAGGACACGAGGATGATGATGACCACGTGGTGCAGGGAGGACACGAGGATGATGATGAACACGTGGTGTAGGGAGGACACGAGGATGATGATGAACACGTGGTGCAGGGAGGACACGAGGACGATGATGACCACGTGGTGTAGGGAGGACACGAGGATGATGATGACCACGTGGTGTAGGGAGGACACGAGGATGATGATGACCGAGAATATAATGGAAAACAAGGAACACAAGAAACAGCAAAAAAAAAACCTGGAAACACAACCCTGGAAATACAAACCGTAACTGACATTATTTTCCGCTTACTACAACTTGTAATAAAGTTGTTACATCTTGGTTTAACGTGTTTATGACGTGTTAGAACGTTGTTACAACTTGCTATATTGGTTGTTATAACTGGTTAGGTGTTAAATCTTGTTCGAACGTTGTACCAACGTCGTAGTTTCGGTGTGTGTTTGGCGGGACTGAAGAGAGAGAGAGAGAGAGAGAGAGAGAGAGAGAGAGAGAGAGAGAGAGAGAGAGAGAGAGAGAGAGAGAGAGAGAGAGAGAGAGAGAGAGAGAGAGAGAGAGAGAGAGAGAGAGAGAGACAGAGAGAGAGAGAGAGACAGACAGACAGAGAGAGAGGACAATTACAACATTTTATCAATTATTGGACGCAGTAACTGGGAGAGGAAACTGGAGGGCAGATAATAGCACAAAGCAGTTATAGATTTATTCCCCAGGAATTATTCCTTATAAACAAGAATGAACATCAAAAAGCCACCAGGTCTTACTGCCTCCAGTCTTGTGTCATCGTCTTCTCTTACATGTGGTTGTGTGTTTAAACAACTATTGGTGTATTTGTGTAAACTTCAAGTTTCTTGAATACATAACTGCCCTCTACACAATGTAGGTGGGAGGGAGGAAGTTGTTAGGTGTGTGTGTGTGTGTCTGTCAAGCTGTCCTAAACAGTTGGGAAGCATATATTGGGGATATGTAAGTTTTTGTCAGTTTAGTGTGGTTGGTGGGAGGGGGAGTAGTGTGGTTGGTGGGAGGGGGAGTAGTGTGGTTGGTGGGGGAGTTGTGTGGTTGGTGGGAGGGGGAAGAGGTGGGAAGGTCAGGTGTGGAGTATAAGAGGGGCAGCAGCCGACAGGAAGATAGTACTATAGGTATGGTGATGGAGGTAATGTTACAAGTTGATGTTGAGTGTGTGTGTGTGTGTGTGTGTGTGTGTGTGTGTGTGTGTGTGTGTGTGTGTGTGTGTGTGTGTGTGTGTGTGTGTGTGTGTGTGTGTGTGTGGTGCAGTAAGGGTAAGATAGAGTGTAGTTTAGCGGGTCCCAGGGAGAGGGCGCGGGTCCCAGGGAGAGGGCGCGGGGCCCACATAATCTCCCGCTAACAATGTCCACCAACAACTCTACAAAAGAAACACAATAAACAAGGAAGCAAGGAAATAATGTGTGAGAAGAGGAGAGGAGGAGGGGAGGAGGAGGAGAAGGGGGGAGGAGGAGGGGGCGGGGAGGAGGGGCGTCTCTCGGGCCTGCCGTCCCAGGGGACTCCTCAAACAAGCCATCCAATCACAACACACCTTACCGCAGCACTTTTACGCCATTGGTTGGTATGTGAAGGTGTAAAACTCGGCTCAACACAACGAACACAAATGTTCTTCATCAACATCTTGGCCTTAATTCCTCCAGCTGTGTTGCACTAGGCTTGTGTGTGTGTGTGTTTGTTTGTTTGTCTCACACTGTGTGTTGCTGGGGTTATGACAGGTGTGGCTGTGGTCATGACAGGTGTGGCTGTGGTCATGACAGGTGTGGCTGTGGTTGTGACAGGTGTGCCTGTGGTCATGACAGGTGTGGCTGTGGTTGTGACAGGTGTGGCTGTGGTCATGACAGGTGTGTCTGTGGTCATGACAGGTGTGGCTGTGGTTGTGACAGGTGTGGCTGTGGTTGTGACAGGTGTGGCTGTGGTCATGACAGGTGTGGCTGTGGTTGTGACAGGTGTGCCTGTGGTCATGACAGGTGTGGCTGTGGTTGTGACAGGTGTGGCTGTGGTTGTGACAGGTGTGGCTGTGGTCATGACAGGTGTGGCTGTGGTCATGACAGGTGTGTTGCTGGGGTCATGACAGGTGTGTTGCTGGGGTCATGACAGGTGTGGCTGTGGTCATGACAGGTGTGGCTGTGGTCATGACAGGTGTGGCTGTGGTCATGACAGGTGTGGCTGTGGTCATGACAGGTGTGGCTGTGGTTGTGACAGGTGTGCCTGTGGTCATGACAGGTGTGCCTGTGGTCGTGACAGGTGTGGCTGTGGTCATGACAGGTGTGGCTGTGGTCATGACAGGTGTGGCTGTGGTCATGACAGGAGTGCCTGTGGTCATGACAGGTGTGGCTGTGGTTGTGACAGGTGTGGCTGTGGTTGTGACAGGTGTGGCTGTGGTCATGATAGGTGTGGCTGTGGTTGTGACAGGTGTGCCTGTGGTCATGACAGGTGTGGCTGTGGTTGTGACAGGTGTGGCTGTGGTCGTGACAGGTGTGGCTGTGGTCATGACAGGTGTGGCTGTGGTCATGACAGGTGTGTTGCTGGGGTCATGACAGGTGTGTTGCTGGGGTCATGACAGGTGTGGCTGTGGTCATGACAGGTGTGGCTGTGGTCATGGCAGGTGTGGCTGTGGTCATGACAGGTGTGGCTGTGGTCATGACAGGTGTGGCTGTGGTCATGACAGGTGTGGCTGTGGTCACCACAACCACAGGTCACAGGTCACCACAACCACAGGTCACCACAACCACAAGTCACCACAACCACAGGTCACCACAACCACAGGTCACCACAACCACAGGTCACCACAACCACAGGTCACCACAACCACAGGTCACCACAACCACAGGTCACAGTTCACAACTACAAGGGAAGGGCGTACCTTAGTGCAGGCTTCCTGTTGTCCAGGAGAAAGAGTGTCAAGCCTTGCAAGTGTGTAGGAAAAAGGTTTGATAGTGTATGAGAGGTTGAGAGCAGCAGCAACAGCAGCCGCTGGAGCAGCAACCACAGACACAGCAGCCGCTGGAGCAGCAACCACAGACACAGCAGCCGCTGGAGCAGCAACCACAGACACAGCAGCCGCTGGAGCAGCAACCACAGACACAGCAGCCGCTGGAGCAGCAGCCACAGACACAGCAGCCGCTGGAGCAGCAACCACAGACACAGCAGCCGCTGGAGCAGCAACCACAGACACAGCAGCCGTTGGAGCAGCAGCCACAGACACAGCAGCCGCTGGAGCAGCAACCACAGACACAGCAGCCGCTGGAGCAGCAACCACAGACACAGCAGCCGCTGGAGCAGCAACCACAGACACAGCAGCCGCTGGAGCAGCAGCCACAGACACAGCAGCCGCTGGAGCAGCAACCACAGACACAGCAGCCGCTGGAGCAGCAACCACAGACACAGCAGCCGCTGGAGCAGCAACCACAGACACAGCAGCCGCTGGAGCAGCAGCCACAGACACAGCAGCCGCTGGAGCAGCAACCACAGACACAGCAGCCGCTGGAGCAGCAACCACAGACACAGCAGCCGCTGGAGCAGCAACCACAGACACAGCAGCCGCTGGAGCAGCAACCACAGACACAGCAGCCGCTGGAGCAGCAACCACAGACACAGCAGCCGCTGGAGCAGCAACCACAGACACAGCAGCCGTTGGAGCAGCAGCCACAGACACAGCAGCCGCTGGAGCAGCAACCACAGACACAGCAGCCGCTGGAGCAGCAACCACAGACACAGCAGCCGCTGGAGCAGCAACCACAGACACAGCAGCCGCTGGAGCAGCAACCACAGACACAGCAGCCGCTGGAGCAGCAACCACAGACACAGCAGCCGCTGGAGCAGCAACCACAGACACAGCAGCCGCTGGAGCAGCAACCACAGACACAGCAGCCGCTGGAGCAGCAACCACAGCAACAGCAGCCGCTGGAGCAGCAACCACAGCAACAGCAGCCGCTGGAGCAGCAACCACAGACACAGCAGCCGCTGGAGCAGCAACCACAGACACAGCAGCCGCTGGAGCAGCAACCACAGACACAGCAGCCGCTGGAGCAGCAACGACAGACACAGCAGCCGCTGGAGCAGCAACCACAGACACAGCAGCCGCTGGAGCAGCAACCACAGACACAGCAGCCGCTGGAGCAGCAGCCACAGACACAGCAGCCGCTGGAGCAGCAACCACAGACACAGCAGCCGCTGGAGCAGCAACCACAGACACAGCAGCCGCTGGAGCAGCAACCACAGACACAGCAGCCGCTGGAGCAGCAACCACAGACACAGCAGCCGCTGGAGCAGCAACCACAGACACAGCAGCTGCAGCAACAGCTGAAGCAGTAGCAGCAACACTGCATCAAACACTCAGACGACACAAATGCATTAAACCACTGAAACACCTTATTCAGTCTGGCTCTGTTGCGGTGTGTAGTAGTGGCTGATGTTGTGGCTGATGTTGTGGCTGATGTTGTGGCTGATGTTGTGGCTGTTGTTGTGGCTGATGTTGTGGCTGATGTTGTGGCTGTTGTTGTGGCTGATGTTGTGGCTGTTGTTGTGGCTGATGTTGTGGCTGATGTTGTGGCTGTTGTTGTGGCTGATGTTGTGGCTGATGTTGTAGCTGATGTTGTAGCTGATGTTGTGGCTGTTGTTGTGGCTGATGTTGTGGCTGATGTTGTAGCTGATGTTGTGGCTGATGTTGTGGCTGATGTTGTGGCTGTTGTTGTGGCTGATGTTGTGGCTGATGTTGTGGCTGTTGTTGTGGCTGATGTTGTGGCTGATGTTGTGGCTGATGTTGTGGCTGATGTTGTGGCTGATGTTGTAGCTGATGTTGTGGCTGTTGTTGTGGCTGATGTTGTGGCTGATGTGGCTGATGTTGTGGCTGATGTGGCTGATGTTGTGGCTGATGTGGCTGATGTTGTGGCTGATGTTGTGGCTGATGTGGATGATGTTGTGGCTGATGTGGCTGTTGTGGTTGATGTTGTGGCTGGTGTTGTGGCTGATGTTGTGGCTGATGTTGTGGTTGATGTGGCTGATGTTGTGGCTGATGTTGTGGCTGATGTGGCTGATGTTGTGGCTGATGTTGTGGCTGTTGTTGTGGCTGATGTTGTGGCTGATGTTGTGGCTGTTGTTGTGGCTGATGTTGTGGCTGATGTTGTGGCTGTTGTTGTGGCTGATGTTGAGGCTGTTGTTGTGGCTGATGTTGTGGCTGATGTTGTGGCTGATGTTGTGGCTGATGTTGTGGCTGATGTTGTGGCTGATGTTGTGGCTGATGTTGTGGCTAATGTGGCTGTTGTTGTGGCTGATGTTGTGGCTGATGTTGTGGCTGTTGTTGTGGCTGATGTTGTGGCTGATGTTGTGGCTGATGTTGTGGCTGTCGTTGTGGCTGATGTTGTGGCTGTCGTTGTGGCTGATGTTGTGGCTGATGTGGCTGTTGTTATGGCTGATGTTGTGGCTGATGTTGTGGCTGATGTTGTGGCTGATGTTGTGGCTGATGTTGTGGCTGTTGTTGTGGCTGATGTTGTGGCTGATGTTGTGGCTGATGTTGTGGCTGATGTTGTGGCTGATGTTGTGGCTGTCGTTGTGGCTGATGTTGTGGCTGATGTTGTGGCTGATGTTGTGGCTGATGTTGTGGCTGTTGTTGTGGCTGATGTTGTGGCTGATGTTGTGGCTGATGTTGTGGCTGATGTGGCTGTTGTTGTGGCTGATGTTGTGGCTGATGTTGTGGCTGATGTTGTGGCTGTTGTTGTGGCTGATGTTGTGGCTGTTGTTGTGGCTGATGTTGTGGCTGATGTTGTGGCTGTTGTTGTGGCTGTTGTTGTGGCTGATGTTGTGGCTGATGTTGTGGCTGATGTTGTGGCTGATGTTGTGGCTGTCGTTGTGGCTGATGTTGTGGCTGTCGTTGTGGCTGATGTTGTGGCTGATGTGGCTGTTGTTATGGCTGATGTTGTGGCTGATGTTGTGGCTGATGTTGTGGCTGATGTTGTGGCTGATGTTGTGGCTGTTGTTGTGGCTGATGTTGTGGCTGATGTTGTGGCTGATGTTGTGGCTGATGTTGTGGCTGATGTTGTGGCTGTCGTTGTGGCTGATGTTGTGGCTGATGTTGTGGCTGATGTTGTGGCTGATGTTGTGGCTGTTGTTGTGGCTGATGTTGTGGCTGATGTTGTGGCTGATGTTGTGGCTGATGTGGCTGTTGTTGTGGCTGATGTTGTGGCTGATGTTGTGGCTGATGTTGTGGCTGTTGTTGTGGCTGATGTTGTGGCTGATGTTGTGGCTGATGTTGTGGCTGATGTTGTGGCTGATGTTGTGGCTGTTGTTGTGGCTGATGTTGTGGCTGTTGTTGTGGCTGTTGTTGTGGCTGATGTTGTGGCTGATGTTGTGGCTGTTGTTGTGGCTGATGTTGTGGCTGTTGTTGTGGCTGATGTTGTGGCTGATGTTGTGGCTGATGTTGTGGCTGATGTTGTGGCTGATGTTGTGGCTGTTGTTGTGGCTGATGTTGTGGCTGATGTTGTGGCTGATGTTGTGGCTGATGTTGTGGCTGTTGTTGTGGCTGATGTTGTGGCTGATGTTGTGGCTGATGTTGTGGCTGATGTTGTGGCTGATGTTGTGGCTGATGTTGTGGCTGATGTTGTGGCTGTTGTTGTGGCTGTTGTTGTGGCTGATGTTGTGGCTGATGTTGTGGCTGTTGTTGTGGCTGATGTTGTGGCTGATGTTGTGGCTGATGTTGTGGCTGTTGTTGTGGCTGATGTTGTGGCTGATGTTGTGGCTGTTGTTGTGGCTGATGTTGTGGCTGATGTTGATGGTAGGCTCTCCCCCCTACCCTCCTCCCACAGCACAGTAAACCAAGGCCTCCGGGGTCACCTCACCTCAACAGCCTTTGAGTTAAGCAAGTAAGCCTCCAGCCTCCACGTCTGGTCTCTCAGACTTAAAGTCTTTCTTTGCCTAAAGTCTTAATGTCACCAAACAATTCTCAAAATCATTGACAGATTTCCTTTACTGAGTGAATAATGAAGATGTGATGAAGGAAGCCGACCCACGGGTCATGGTTCGTGTACATTGTAGCCGACAGTCATTATATTGTTTTATTGAAAAGAAAGTTCCTTTGATTTAACTTACCAAAGTGTAGGATTTGTGTTTGTTGAATATTAACCTTAATAAACTCATGCCATCGTTGGTTTACTTTAGTTCTCCATCACTACCATGTTTCATTTTCTGTTGGAACACTTTGTTGTACTTGTATCGCGTTTTCTTTAGAGCGCGCATCAACTAAAGGCTCTCTGGCCCCCACCTCTCAACTCACATTAATGAGTTAGTTCCATAAGAGCCACCATTATGAGTCTCATAATTATGGTAGGGTAGGATGGTTGTCTTCCCAGGGTAGTTAGCCCCCGTGACAGTGAGAGGGTTATGGCGGGACGTCAGCTGGGCTCCGCCTGGGTCCATGATGGGAGTCTTTGATGTCAGTGATATCGTGGGGGTTGCCTGCTGCTGCTGCTGCTGCTGCTGCTGCTGCTGCTGCTGCTGCTGCTCTGCTTCACTACCTTATCCACTCACTCACTCACTCCTCGGCTCCTGTGTGCACCTGTTCGTGTGTGTGTGTGTGTGTGTGTGTGTGTGTGTGTGTGTGTGTGTGTGTGTGTGTGTGTGTGTGTGTGTGTGTGTGTACTCACCTAGTTGTGTCTGCAGGATCGAGCATTGACTCTTGGATCCCGCCTTTCGAGCATCGGTTGTTTACGGCAATGACTCCTGTCTCATTTCCCTATCATACCTGGTTTTAAAATTATGAATAGTATTTGCTTCCACAACCTGTTCCTAAAGTGCATTCCATTTCCCCACTACTCTCACGCTAAAAGAAAACTTCCTAACATCTCCGTGTGTGTGTGTGTGTGTGTGTGTGTGTGTGTGTGTGTGTGTGTGTGTGTGTGTGTGTGTGTGTGTCTGCTCAGCTAGTTGAGCTTGCGGGATCGAGCCTCTGCTCTTAAGCCCAGCCTCTCGACCATCATTGGTTCAATACAGTGACTCATTTCAGTCGTTTTGTTACCATATTTACATTTCAAAGTTGTGTATATAATTGGCTTCGACAACTTGCTCATGTGATCCATTGCACTTATTAACGACTCTGGGACTGGAAAAGTTCCTTCTGGTATCTCGTTGCCTCGTCTGCTTCCAGTTTCCAATTATCTCCTCTTGTTCCACTGCTCCTTAATTTGTGCATTGCTTCCAAGCAGTCATGTCTGCTTCCAAGTAGTCATGTCTACTTCCAAGTAGTCATGTCTGCTTCCAAGCAGTCATGTCTGCTTCCAAGTAGTCATGTCTACTTCCAAGTAGTCATGTCTGCTTCCAAGCAGTCATGTCTGCTTCCAAGTAGTCATGTCTACTTCCAAGTAGTCATGTCTGCTTCCAAGCAGTCATGTCTGCTTCCAAGCAGTCATGTCTGCTTCCAAGCAGTCATGTCTACTTCCAAGTAGTCATGTCTACTTCCAAGTAGTCATGTCTGCTTCCAAGTACTCATGTCTACTTCCAAGTAGTCATGTCTACTTCCAAGTAGTCATGTCTGCTTCCAAGCAGTCATGTCTGCTTCCAAGTAGTCATGACTGCTTCCAAGCAGTCATGTCTGCTTCCAAGCAGTCATGTCTGCTTCCAAGCAGTCATGTCTGCCGTATTCCTTCTTTCCCCCGTCGTAGTGGGCTCCAGCTCCCTCAGTATTTCTTCATAGCTCAGTACCCTTACCTCGGGAACCTTTTCTAGCCATTTAACAGATAATCTTTGGAGAAAGTCTAGTTCATGTTGAAATGTACTGGAGTCCTATACAGTTCTGACTCGCCTCGTTATCTTAGTCTCACCAATAAACATGGATAAGAGTGAGCTTACTTCCACTGTTTACAGACTTTATATATATTAAGAACAGGATGGGTCCCAGTACCGACCCTTGCAGTACCCTGCTCATTACTTCTCTACAGTCTCATAACTCTGACTCTTGACTCTTTGCCTTCTTCTTGAAGAGTACTTCTACCTTTAGTACTCTTCTTGATACACCAGCCTGTTGTCTAGTTGTCATAGGAGTCGCTTGGGAGCAACAGTGTCAAAAGCTTACTGGCAATCCTGGAAAATGCGGACTACCCAGCCCTCTCTCAGCTGGTTGATTGTTGTCGTCATGTTGTTATTTTCCTTTGATCAATTCCATGTTGATGTTAGGAAACAAATCCCCCGTGTTGCGTGTGTTTGTCTTATCCTTCTGTTAATGTCTAATGTATTGTGAGCGATGCTGGCCTGTAGTTCACTTGTTACTGTCTCCCTTCTTTATGTACATACCTACCATATTACATGTCTTAGACATTTCTGGTAGT